AACATGTGTGTTAAGTTCCTGCATGCCTCTACATTTACATGCCAGAAATCACAGCATCCATGGTCGCCAATGATAACTGTGTTTGCATTCTTTGTAGTACAAGAAGTAAAGCCATGGATGCAGTAATCATGTACTTAGTCGATGTAATCCTTCAGTGTACACTCATTTGTATAGCACCAATGATGCCATGAGTGTATAAGCTCTGGGAAGTGAACCTATGTGGATTATTTTATTTGGAAGGAAGAGGATCATCACTACTCCTAGTACATCTTAACAGTAGATTTTAGTGCTTGGGTATTATCCCACTGCCTGTCCGTCCTTCAACAGTCTACTTATCTACTGTGTAAGTGTAACTTTTTAAATGTATACCTTGCTCGGATAGAATTGTTCATAATGTAATGCAAGTGACTTATCATCTATGCAGCTCTACTCAGACTAGAAATAAAAGTATTTATTTTTATATGTAGCTATAGCAGGCATTCACTTGTGTTTTTCTAGGTGCCTGTACAATTGTTTAGCCCTACAAAAGTGCTGGTATACTCTAATATTGAATCTGGCATCCTAAAATAGTTTGTTAGTGGAAGTAAGGATGTGTTTACAACCAATATTACTATCCTCAGATGAACTGTGAAAACACTGTGGAAACTTATTTACATTTTTTGAACTCTGTGAAGGCAAATGTTATGTTCTTTTATTGTGGTCCCTGTTTCATGCAAATGACACATAATTACTTTGCAGTGGCATAGTATTAGTTGTTATTTTACACATATGTGCTGAGCAACATTGCAGTTGAGGCCAGCAGCAAGACATACATGCAGTGCACTGGAGCATCACCTCACATAGTGTACAGTCTTCGCCCTCCAGTAAACTCAATATTTTTCAAGCAGACTAATAGACAGCTGTATGGGAACTGTGTTGATGTGCAAATTTTGAAATCTTCTTGAGGAGTGCTTTTCATCATTTTTGTCCAAGTGAAGTAGCTACCCAAGGCCACAACTGGTGGGAATGTGGTGGTTTCCTCTCTCCAAAAGCACTCTTACCAGCTGCCTCAATGTTAGCATGGGGTGAATTCACAAACTGAAAAAATAATTGGTCTTTGTATTCTTGGCTGAAAGAGTCACTTTGACCGTTGAGCCACCACGATGCGCCAGAATAGAAACTTTTCGCTAAATAAAGTTTATTCTACTTTTGAGAAGTGTTTTGGGGAAACGAAATGGCACCTATAGCTGTCAATATAAACACTGTTTGCACCAAGGAGCTTAGTAGCTTATAATTGTATTATTCATATATTGTCTAGAATTTACTGGCGCTGTGCCAACTTTCAGCCCAAGTGTCCTAACATGCTTTGTTAGTGGGTTGTGAATGAGCCAAGCTATGTAAATAAACAGAGTGATATTGCAGACATGTACAAAATATTGACGCACAGCCCTTTTCTTTAACATGACATTGTCAAGGGCTTTATTCTTGTGTTTTTTATAAAAACTGCTTGTCACTGGGCAGCAGCGGAAACTATGCATCAAGCTTTTGCGAGATGGTTTGAAAAACACTGTGTTCAGACATAACAGTGCCGGTGGATTTCTCTCGTAAGTTACTTTCTGTAGTTTATTCAAAATGAGTGTATTAGAATTGTTGTTTTATAGCCATTCATTTTAATATTTACACCTGAGTGTATGTATGTATGGGTGTACATATGTATATGTGTGTGTGCGTATATGTATGTTTGTATGTATGTATGTATGTATGTATGGATGTATGTATGTATGTATGTATGTATGTTGTATGTATGTATGTATGTATGTATGTATCTTTTAAATGAGAATCTGTTTATCATTGGTGAGTAAGTTTGGTAATGATTTGGCTGAATTTGTTTCTAGTTATTTCTCTTTTGAGCCATTATACATTTCAATTTGTTTTGTACTGCATAAAAATAAGTGTAACCTTACACAGAATATGTGTGTTTGAAGAAGTTGTTTCATTTACCAACCAACAGTCATGGGCAAGAAATTGGGTAAAATGGAACGAACCTGCAAAGATTAGTTCAGAGCATAGCTACTCTACATGGCATATCTCATACACATTGCGTTGGTTGAATATGTCGATTTCAACCTTTCAATTTTAATCAGAATAAGCAAGCTATCACCCGTGGTTGTATATGTGTGTGATATTTATGCATACTGTGATACTGGTTCGCAATTACAATTAAGGTCACAAACCTAGTCAAGCTGAATACACGAATTTCGTCCATGCACCTTTCATCTGCACGGGAACTGTTGTTAATAAAAAATAAACTTCAGTTTAGAAATTTATTATAGTAACCAAAAGCAAGGTATCTCTTTATCACACAAATAAAATTGCCATTGTTCTGTTCCATTCTGGACAATAGGCGACCCTCTCAGGAGAACTCGATTAACTGCTATAGTTCATTTTAACCATTGACAGCGACATTACACTGAAGCGTGCAGCATGACAAATAGTGGGAGAGAAGACACAAACTAATCACTCTGTTTGCGTCAACTCTAACTGTCCATGCTCTTTGGTCTTGCTGCATGTGATGATGCCCACCAAATTAGCATGAAAGCGTGTCCCTACAAAGGCAGTCAACTTGGCTGCAAGCAGTTAGCTCACTGCATGTGTAGATTTTCTTCAAAACACCGTGAAGACTGATTGCTGGTCGAATATTCAAACACGTCAAAAGTAATTTACAAGGTATGATATTGGTATTTCAGCACTGGACACTTTTGCGATAAGAGAGGTTTCAGGAGAAAATTATGAACCCTGAATTGTTTATTTTTTGAAGGAGCACAGTACAGCGCTTTTGGGTCAAAAGAGGGAGCGAAAGAAGCAAGTGCAAAAGCCTACTTTTCAAAAAATTAGTAGCCGCCAAGCCGCATAATGTCAGGCCGGGCAACCTCTTGAAAAAAAAAAGTGCTCAGTGATTCTGCGAATCGAACCAAGTACCTCCTAGATTGTAGTTGAGCGCTGTAACCGCTCGTCCACTGCAGCAGTGCTTGCATTCGCCCTATTGCTGATATATCGTCATTCCTTCGAATGAAGCCAAATGGAAAAACGTCCTGTGAAACTTGGTCAAAAACAGAAAAAATAGTTAGAATGCGTTTGCCCAAGGTTACTAGAAGATAGAAACCGCCACGTGTGACTGTATAACCGTGCACTATTTATTTTTGTACATTACTGTCATGACGCTAGGATAGCCGGTTCTAACGTAGGCTACCTTCTCATAGTTTGCCAAATATAAATAAGAAAATAAAAATATATATCGACCTGTGACAACGCTAATCAACTATTATGAGTTCACTGTCACTAGTGTCACTTTCACTAGATGAATGCTCAGTTTGCTTCCATTATCGTTATTTAGGAAACTTTTGGCTCATTAACTCAACTCTCCTAATTAGCATTGATTGTCACATCTAAGGACAGTCACACTTCATCTCGCTTTCTGAGTGGCTGTCACTCACATATAACACGTACTCCACTTTTTTATTCTCTCCGAGCATCTGACGCTGCTTTGCGGAGACTTTCCCTGACGTCTGCTGGGCCAGAAAATTGTCTTTGTTATCTATCAATTTCAAGCTTTCGCGAAGCCGAAACGAGAGTCTCTCTCTCTCTCTCTCTTCATTCTTTTTGCACGTGTGATAACGTCTCTCGACCTCAAGACTCGTATACACGTCCCTTGCTTTGTTTGCGCACTCAAACAACGCTGGACGAAATATTTGCACCGTGTTTTGTGAAAAGAATTAGCACTGAGACACCTCCCGACGAGTCTCCCTCATTTTACGTAGACATATACCTAAGCGTAAGCGTATGCACGTTCTCGCATTCCGGCGTTATAAAAATGCTGCGGTGCATGAAACCAGCGAAATTGCGCTCACAATTTCATTTGATTACTGCTGTTATCTATTTCCGCCCAATTCGTCTGCAGGCACCAAAGTCGTACATGTCTCTTGTAATAAGAATATTGTAACAAAGGCTACCTTTGACTATAGGTACAAAACACCCTTACGTTCACGACTATACCGTGCTAGATTGCACCGAATTAGTTAAGTAGCAGCGCAGCTTCTTTGAAATGTAAGATAGCTGGTCGCGTTAAATAGGGGAAGACATTCGAGGCACATTTTTAAACATTGCATGCATCGATTTATGTGTGGTGTCATTTATGTGGTGCACCTGGAGTGTTGTTTACTTGTACTTGGCGAGATAGTGCATGGATTGCTCGGTGGCTTAAGGCCATCGAACAATTATTTTTTTTAGCTACAGTCGTTGACTAAAGGCGAGTGCTTGGCTGTGCACAGCCCACCAAAACGTCTATTACAACGTACGCGGCATCCCGTAAGCGCTGTAGCAGACGCTCGCGGAACTGAAACTTAGATGCAGCAAATCATTGGCTATCATCGTATACTCTCGATGCTAGACGCTTTGCGTGCTACCTTGATATTATCGGTACACACTTCTTTCTTTCCTTGTCGTTTCATCGGCTATCGTGTGTCCTCCTTGCCCTCTTAAGTGCCGAATAAGTTAAATTCATACCCGCGCTATAGTAATCCCTCCAGATAAGAGAATTTTTGGCTAAGAAAATGCGTAGCCAAAGAGAAAGCTTTGTGAATTCAGCCCCAGTATTGAGACCACGTTTTTGAAAAGTTTGCCCACATATCAAAATGCTAATACAAGTTGTTACAAGTGACCACAATGAAAGGTACTTTTTATAGAACTGCACTGTATCTGTGATATTACTCATACATATGGTCATTTTTCTAATGGTAACGAAATAGTCACCCGGTACTGACAAGGCACACAGCAAGAGTCTTCAGGTTTTCGCCGTTGTTTTCTTGCGACCGTCGCGCCTAAGCTCCGATGGACTTCCTTCGGGCAAGCAGCCGAGCACCGCCGCGGAGTTGGAATATCATTACATATGCATTGCAAGATCAACCCTTTATTCTAGCCATCCTAGCAAAGTATATGCTACTTGTTTGCTTTTCCCAAGACACATACAATTTTCCGTATGCTGATAGGCTGCTAGAAGCACTCGTTTTCCTTTGAGACGCCTCGCATGACAAAACGTCGCAACGGTATGCAGACAGTCGCTCTGTGAGTGCATTCATGTGCTGCTTCGTCCACCGAGTCTTGTACGTATACAAGGAGCTGTTTTTTTTTTCAATATTGCGGTTTTTCATTTTCATAAAGCTTCATGTTTTTGTTTACAAGATTTGTTTTTCACTTGTAGTTGTAGCTGCATGGCTTGACTTGATCTTCCTCGCTATTATGTACATCAATACATGGCTGTTAAACGAGAAGCACTACGCTTTTTAAGAAGATTTTAAGTCAGTTTTCCACCGCACAGCTTCAGACCACTGTTGCAAGCGTAAACATACTTCAGGTATGTTTTCAAGCAGGCACACTCATATGTATCCCAACTTTCATTGCTGGTTATTTGACGACAATCGTCATTGAAGCTTAACAAAAAACCATTCATTCTCTGGTATTTTCTACCAAGATAAGGACTTCATTACGAGACAGCCCGTGCTCCTACTCAAGGACGATGGCTTGGCGTTCACCACCAGGAGTATTTTAATGTCTACCTAAGCCTGACCATTAGACTTTTTTTCATTCCATCCAAATGAATTATGAACTCGATGGCATGTAATCGAGGCTGAGTACTCGAAAGAAAGAGTAGGACACGCTATAGTAAGAAACTATTGCTGTTTTGTAAAATTATTTGCATTTAAAGTAGGCTATGATATTGTGACAAACAGATGAAGCATTTATAATATTTCGTAGTATTTTAAATGACTTTTCGCAGAAAGAACTTCAGAAGTACAGACGCATTTGAGAAAAAATTCAGTGGTATGGGCATCCACCTGATGCGAAAAATGTGGAGGAAAGGTGACCATCGTGTATTTGTCTAGTAGGCGATGTGTTACCTGAATAATGCTAAAGACATGCACAAATGCTTTTACACACAGCCATGTTGAACAGTCACATATGTTTTACATAACCAGATGTTTCTAGTTACATACTGATGCTGACAGCAACATCAGTATCAGCATCACCAGAAGCGGTAAGCTGATACGTAGCGCAAATATGGTAGGCCTGGCTTGTGCTGCATAGACAAACTTCAATAGATGCCGCTAGGTATACAATTCAGGTTAACCCGACATGACGCTTGCGACACAGGAGCACATATCTCATCTTTGCGAAATTTCATAGCCAGCACTGCCACCACGATAGAACTTTCACCAACATAACGCCTGCATAAGCTATTTTTATTGCGAGAGCGTTTAAGAGCCTGTTTCTTAGTAATTTCCGTGTCGGTGTCAGAGTAGTCAATTGAGAGCGAAAAATCATCTTGTCCGTGACAGAAAAATGAAGAAAGGTGCCAATGAACAAATAAATATTAAATATTATCACGGCTGAGTGAGGATTAAACCGGAGGTGCTCGAACACGGAGCCACGAGGTTTGATGAAACTGCTTTCGGGAAAGCATCATATGAATGTCATGTAGTGGATGTATACAGTCTACTTAACGCAGTATACATTGCGTGACAGAAGCATAGCATCGCTTGATTCATTTGATTGATTTGTGGGGTTTAACGTCCCAAAACCACTATATGATTATGAGAGACGCCATAGTGGAGGGCTCCGGAAATTTCGACCACCTGGGGTTCTTTAACGTGCACCCAAATCTGAGTACACGGGCCTACAACATTTCCGCCTCCATCGGAAATGCAGCCGCCACTGCCGGGATTTGATCCCGGACCTGCGGGTCAGCAGCCGAGTACCTTAGCCACTAGACCACCGTGGCGGGGCAAGCATAGCATCGCGTCATGCGTCAAAGATGTGACTTGAGCAACGTATTCGTGTTCTAAAGACCCATTCATTACAGAGCACACAAACATATTTAATCATCATCAGTTGCAAGACCATCAACATAATGAAAAGGTGCGTAGGTTCACGTGTTGCCCTATGGACACGTAGTGAGTCCTTGACTGATTCAGAAAATTATGAACCAAGGCGAAGCAAATGCTTTACAGGCTAACTAAGAGAACAAAAGCTGTTCTTTTTCCACCAACCCGAAAACACGTAAACTGCAATTTAAACATACTCATCGATAAGAACGAATCGGCGTCCCTGCTGATGTTGAAAACGCTACGTGTAATTTTTGATCAGAACTTATTGTGGCACAAACAATCGAGCTCGTTGCAACGTGCATGTCGAAAGCATGCGGGGCACTTTGTAGGCTTCGGGATGTTCTTCCATTAAAAATATGGCCATTGTCGCATAATAAGACATTTATCTTGCATGCTAGTTATTGTAGTTTATTATGAAAAACAACGTGCCCATAAACTGCAAGACCTTATTGATGCGGCAAAAAAACTGCATTTCGGCCTTTTGCGTGTGTTTTTTACAACAGCCATACACGTTCATTATTTTCTCAGTTTAATGTTCTCCCATATTGTTACCAGCATTAGTTTAACCTCGCCGTAAAATATAAAGAAAGCGTAAAACGAGACAACGCTTTCTTCATCTTTGTAACTTAAGCAAGCCACATAACCTCGATTATTACATTCGAGAGCGTGGAACTTGGGCTGTTCCTTTTTCACGAACAAATCATGGAAAAGAGTGGCTACCGGACCGTATATTATTGCAGTTTAGGAATCTTGAGAGGGAAAACATCATTCTAAATAAAATTTCGTGTTGGATGCTTAGGAAGTATTTTCTTAGCCGTGCTGCTATATGTGAGTAATTTTATGCCATATACGCATTTGCTTTATCTTGCATGTTTCTTGGGTATGGTACATCTTTTATTAAAGTTGTGTGTGTGAAAGTCTTCTTGCATGCACTTATGTAGCGGAAATTTTGTATTGTTTCACCATGGTATATGTTTTCTACGCTTGTGTTCAGTAAAGTTGTGAACTGTTCGCTGAAAAACATGTCTTCATGTAAAAAAACGAAATTTTTGTTGTGCTGTAAATATGCAACACACATGTCAGTGTTTGTGTGTTCATTTTTTATAGAGAATTTATATACCAATGAATTGCAGTTTTTTGTGTGCGTGTGTTGTCTCCTGCCAGCGGATTTTTGTCAAGCCACTATGATAGCGGCTTTTTGCTTCTGTTCAAGCAACAGTTTCAAATTAATGCCAAGACGAATAGTCTGAATCTTAATCTTAATCAAAAGATAATTATGGCGCATATGGCACTTGGGTATTATGCTTGCAGTAGGTATTTTGTGACACTTAGAAGCAACCAATGTTAAGCGCACTAACATTGATCTTCTTGCGGTGCAGTTCAGGCTTGCACCGAGGTCAAAAGCAGGTTAGCAGTTCGCAGGAAGATGCGCACGATGTCTGATTAGGCTATCACCACAATATACTCTTGAAAGCAAAGGTAAAGCGTCCTCCAGTTTTTCCGAAGCAGTATCGAGACCTGGCATGACTTTGTGGTAAAACACTTCAGTGACACAAAAAATGTTCTTTGAAAAACATGTCTTCATGTAAAAAAACGAAATTCTTGTTGTGCTGTAAATATGCAACACACATGTGCAGTGTGTGTGTTTAAACAAGCAAGATAAAGCAAATGCGTATAGCATAAAATTACTCACATATAGCAGCACGGCTGAGAAAATACTTCGTAAGCATCCGACAAGAAATTGTATTTAGAATAATGTTTTCCCCCTCAAGATTCCTAAACACTAATAATATACGGTCCGGTAGCCGCTCTTTTCCATGATTAGTTCGCGAAAAAGAAACAACCCAATGAATTACTGCTGAGACTCTCCTATTTCTTATTTGAATTCGTTGTGTCAACGCGGCCGATGTAAGTCTTCAGCAGTCTCGTGTTTAAATGTCTGGTCTTCCCGTTACTGGTAAATATAAACGGTCAAGTATCTGTGGTGCACACTGTCTTACCGTGGCTCGTGGTGTATGCGTACGTGCCACACGTGTCTGGAGGATAGTGCTTGGCGACGTACGCTATGGGATCTTCACATAATTCTTGCAACGGTCAGCCAGACATATTGATTAAGCCCTCTTACCCTACCGAACAAATTTTGATCTACTTCAAGTTATATAGGTGATCATGAAAGCACCCAGACGTAGGTGGCTGTAGAGAGACACGTTTTGCAGTTTGAAAAAAAAAAGCGTAATCTCACGGACTGTAGGAATGATATGATGCGAAAACGTAAGCGAGGATCAGTATTTGTTATATAATTTCGCATTGAGCCTAGTTTTCACGGGGAAGATTGACGTTTTTATTTCAATTGAGCAGTTGCGAGCATGATTGGTACGCTAAATTTTGAAGTCTAAAAGGTCTAAAACAATTTTCCAAGCATTGCCACTTACGTGTAAGCGTTGTTAGCAGTTTCACTTTTGGACGTGTTCACGATAAAGCGTAATGACGAGGATAACATAGGCTATGGTCCAAAAGCTTGTTTTTTTGTGTGAGGCTGTATTTAAATTAGGTGTTAGGGGGGGGGGTGATGTTATCGCAGCATTGAAAGCGTTGTTAAGTTTAACCTAGTATTGTGACAGAAATGCTAGCTTTAGAAATTAGAGACATTAAGCTATGTTGCTGTTGTCATTATGTTCTGAGGTGTATAGTGGATGTCATGCAGCTTTGATAGAGTGTGCAGTATGTGTCAGAATATGATTGTGGCTTGTGGTGAATCAACCTACTCAAACGCAAATGCTATGAAGCTAAAATATTCGTCATAAATATCAGTTCTTCACCAAGGAAGAAAGCATTGTCGAACTTTTCACTTGATCTGCTTATTGTAAAAGTAACAACATTAGCCACTTGGTTACCACGCAAGAAGTTAATCCTTGGAATTTTTTTTTCAGGACCTTGTTTCGAAACCAAAAAAGCACCGCTATCAGCGAAACAAAAGTTGTGTTACCATCATGGTCACTAAGATTCTTTCCACATCTGTTTTCGTTGCCGCCAGCTACTTAGCCCACGCTTCTTTATCTAACTTTCCCGAGCTGAAAACATACTTGTCGGAGCATCAAGACAGCATGAAGGTAATTCTAGTGCGACTAACCTAATATGTGCAAATTGCGATTGCATCTACAACGCTTGTTCATTGGGAATAAGTATTGCTCACACATGTTTTGAAACAAACACTAGGTAAAGGCACATTTCAAATTTCATAATTGATAAACAAGATGTTGTTAAACATTTCGTATTGCAAGCCACTCAGTCATCTATGTAACTTTCATTGCATCACTCGTTGATATCATCTACAATATAATAATTTTAGTAACACTTCAAGTGCATCGGACGTAAAGTTGGTTTTCAAATGTAGATAAAACCAGGTAGGTAACTTAGAAAATGAGCAGCTAAAACTGACCAGAAATCAGCGGCCACCTTTTTCTCCAAACTGCTACACGACCGCACACAGCTTCAATTGTGGTGCTCCTAAGAAAGGTACATGAAGGTGACAGGTTTCACTGCCTAAAAGGGGACCATCATCTTCATGATGGTTCCCCTTTCAGGAGGAGGACTATTCTGGAAGCGAATGATCACACGGGAACGGGTTTTGTGATATGAGGTACATAATACACGATGAATGTAATATACAAATATCTTTGTCCTAAGAAAACAATGTGATGTCTCGCGTCCAGCCGCAGTTAGACCAAGATTTTACATAGCACTAATAGGCCAGCTATTAACTTGAATGTTTAAGCTAGTTGGCACTCAGTAACATAAAGAGCTTGAAAAAAAAAAGGATGCGCCAAGTGAGAGGGCCGAGATAAGCGCTCAAAACAGGAGCGAGAGAACACAGCCAGAAACTCTGTCTTCTCGCTTTGTCCGTCATTTGCTGTTTCGGGCTGTGCAATAATATATTAGGCGTCACCGAATGACCTACAAATTACTTCAACATTTTTATATCAAGATATTGAAGTAAAAATAGCATATCAGGCGCTAAATGCGACAACCATTGCATCGTTTTTTAACCTCACAGCCGCCTCCTAATGTAAGAAAAGTAACAACACGTATAGGTGACCTGCCGTATCACAAGAAAGCTACAGGAGTATCTGTAGTCATTTTTGTTATGAGGAACATGGCTACCATTACCTGCTTTCCATAAAATATATGAAGAGCGCCCGCACCTACACACGTGCGCTCACGTGCGAGCGAAAGTATTTAAAATATGCACCGACATACAAACAATACATGCACTCTAACTAAAAATAAAACCAGAATGATAATAAACATTGATGTGTGTCCGTTTATACTGATCAGCTCATGTTTCTTTACCGATTGATGATAGTGTTTCTTTTTCAGGCACACCGGCAATTTCCAATTTTTTGCGCTCTATCAACGCTCATACCAGTTTGACCCTGGCTTTGATACTGATGGAGATTGCATTTACGGCCGTAATTTTGAGTGCTACCCCGAAGAATCATACTGCATGGGATTCGTTCTGCATCGGCGCCCGTCAGCGAACAAACAGTAAGCTTGCCTAAATATATAGTAAATCCCACAAGGAATATGTAACATGACACATCGAAAGCTACGTTAGATTTAAGACAGCCGTTAGAGAAACGGCTGAAGCGTTTCATAATTTTCACAATGGCAGTCCTACAGTGGCTCGACGCCAAAGGTATCCGTATTCCACATTTCCCATCACCCATGTACAGTTTAGATAAGGTCTACAGGGTCATGCTCACGCGCTTTTGTGTCCCTTGATGCAAGGAAGTCCAAAAAACGTACGAACGCTGGTTGACCCTCTAAGGCGTTGAGTGAAAAAATCTATTCTTCATATACTGCATACACCTTGTCACCATTGATAGATAGATGTAAAACTGGGGTTTAACGTCACGAAACCACCATATGAATATGTGAGACGCCGTAGCGGAGGGCTCAGAAAATTTCGACCACCTGGCGTTCTTAAACGTGCAGCCAAATTGAGCACACGGGCCTACACCATTTTCGCCTCCACTGAACATTTCTCACCATTGGTCTTTCTCCATAAGTGAAATAATTTCGCTGTGCGCTTAGTTCACATGCCTCTCAAGCGACTTCGATAAACCCCTGCAACTCTTCAGCGCAAAAGTGTGTACGCACAAATTAGCGGATAATGTCGTCACATAAAATGTCAAATTTGAATACATAATTCAATAAAAATTCGTTACCTGCTGATCACTAGAGTAGTGGTTTCTGCTAATCTACAGAATATATGAATTTATTTGCGCGTTGAGTAGTTGGCCACGGATATTGGTAGGAGTCACAATAGGTGAATTGCATGTAATGAGTAATTATCTATTAATTATTTCGAAATAGCGCAGTCTCGTAGAAATTTCGGAGGGGTTGGGACAGTAAATACAAAAGAGGCAGTGCAACAGATAATGTACCGAACGTGAAGATCGGTAGCTTGTAACAAAATCAGTAAGAGGTAAAGATATAACATGACCGGGCAAAGCATACCATCGTCCAAAAGTGTGGACAAATAATCTGTATTGATATGGCCGAACTCCTATCTGAAGTTTTATTAGTGCCCTAATACACGTGTAAGTGCTGTTATGCGCAACCACAGCGATTGACCAACAACCATGGAGCTAATCCTTGAACCTTCCAACGTGGTCACGTGCAAAACTCGATCATTCCTGATTCTTTTGTAACTTGCGTGGCTGCTAGCGAAAACGCTGAAACATTTGATGGTACATGTATAGATGTCGACGTGTGTCGCCACTTCACATTTAATCAATAGCCGACGCTCTGTTCACCTCTGTCAGTGTCAGTGTGTATATCACTGTATTCTGACTATTCATTTACTGACCAGAAGTTCAGCCAAATAAACACTTTCGTTTGGACAAGCTTTCACTATCTTCGTCGGCGTCACGACATCACGACAATATTGCCGCGACAGGTTGGCCACGTTCAAGTAGCCCGCCGCAATCATCGTGGCAAGAGCACCAGCAAGACCCGGCTGGCATGCACCACGCGTTTGTGCGCTTGGCCTACGAGAAAGAGGAAGATAGTTGAATCTGTGCCACTCGGCTACTCGGACTCGACAACCATAGTCATCAGGCTCGTGGGCACTAGTTCGCTCTAGTAAAGACGCTTGTATTTTAGCCTGTCTGCCTCAGCATCGCTACAATTCTAGTGGAGGTGCTGGGTAATGAATTGAAGTCCGCGTGCTCAAGACAGCGTAGCCCCGACGACCAGCCTGTCAACCCCGTGGAAGTGACTCCTGTACACCAGAGGGCAAGTCGCCGTCTTCGAGGTGACTCACCTGAGTTCAGTCCTCTCCACTTCACACCAAGGGGAAGTCAAACGATGGACGCTGCCACTATGACTAGCCTGGTAACACGAGCACAAGTGTTCATCAGCCAACCGCACCAGCCGCCAGTATTCCTCGGTGACTTGTACGAAGACTTGGAAGATTGGTTGGACCTGTTTGAGAAAGTGGCGAGCTTGAATGGGTGGGACGAAAGAGAGAAGCTTTGTCGCGTATATTTCGCTCTGGAAGACTTCACAAAGACATGGTTTGAGAACCATGAAACCTCGTTGTCTACCTGGGAGGTATTTCGACGACAAGCGGTGGCTACATTTGGGAACATAGACCGAAAAGAAAAAGTGGAAGCTGCTCTTCAATCTAGGAACCATTTCACAAACGAGAGTGCTGCCATGTACATTGAGGACATGGTCCGTCTGTTTAAGCGTGCGGATTACAACACGGCCGAAGATAAGAAGGTGAGCCATCTAATGCGCGGAGTGAAGCAATAGCTATTCGCCGTTTTCGTCCGCAACCCTCCAAGAAGAGTTGCTGAGTTTTATTCGGAAGCGACGGCCATCGACAAACACTGGAACAGCGGGCTCGGCAGTACAACCGGAATCTTAACTGCGCATCTGCACAGGTATTCTCTGGAGGCGTGCGAAACGACGTTGAAGCCCTGCGAGAGCTCATTAGATCAGTTATTAGGGAAGAATTGAGCAGACTGCTAACGCCCTAGACTCCAACTGCTTTATCTGTTACAGACGTTGTTCGTGACGAACTGAGGCAGGTCATACGAGAACCAGAGCGTGAGCTGCAGCTGGTTCGACCTATCCGAAGGTACTCTGAAGTTCTCAGACGACCCACAGTACACAGCAATGCAGCAGTTGCGATGGCGGCGACTCGTCTCCCACCTGCAGGACGCAGCGCACCTCGTCCACGGGAACCAACGGCTACCTATCTGCCCCCAGGAGCTTGTAGCACGCATTGCAATGTGGAGCCTAGGCCCAGGAAAAGTTACGTCTGTCGTGGTTGCGAGCGCAGGCCTCTGTGTTTCTATTGTGGCGAAGCGGGTCATTTGTACATATTCTGCCCTTACCGACAGGCTGGATGAAAAGGCTTCCCTTCGTATGCACCATGCCCCGAAACGACGAACGACCAGCGGAGATTGAGGAGTACTTGTCCACGCGGCAAAACTCGCCACCTCTACGCCAACATCGGTCACGGTCACTATCGCCTATGCGCTACCGGTAATCCAGCACACGTGCACCTTCAAGGCAGCCTGGTCATCGCTCTCCAAGTACACTCCAGTACACTCCCGGAAAACTGAAGCAAGTGGCCTGTGGAGGTGAGGCCGCTGATAACATCAGTTACGAAGATCCTTCAATATGGCTTGAGGGCGACGATGGTGTATTTCCGGTAAATGGACGCAGCAACGAAAGCGTTACTTCAGATTTGCGGTTGAGAATGGAAGGATGGGAGCTGAATGCCTTAGTCGACACCGGTGCTGATTATTCAGTGATAAGTCACAAGATGGTGAAGAAGCTAAAAAAAGTTGTGACACAATGGAGTGGATCGCAGATACGCAAGGCAGGTGGTCACATTATTACGCCCCTTAGCAGATGCACTCCAAGACTTGAAATATGGGGCTGTATTTACGTTGTCGATTTCATTGTGCTACCAGAATGTTCAAGGGACCTCACTAGAGGAATGGATTTTTCGCGAGCTAATGGCGCCGTAATTAACCTGCGTAGGTCCAGCGTGTCGTTTTCGACTGAACGAGCTATACCTGTAGAGGAATCTGAGGAACGACGCCTAACTGCTCTACGCGTTGTTCATGATGACGTAACTGTGCCACCACACTGCAGTATAATGGTGCTCGTAGAAAATGACGCATTTTACAACCGCGAAGGCATAGTGGATACACATGTAGGGCTGTTTTTGAAAAAAGGTGTCTGCGTAGCTCGGGGTCTTGTTCACTTGACGAATGGCCGTGTAGATGTCCTTCTTATGAATTTCTCCAATAAACTTCAACACGTCGCTCAAGGCACGGCTATTGCCTATTTACACGACTTTTGTATTGCGACCGAACTATGCAGCTTAACGACGTCAACCACTCGACCAGGGGCCTGCAACATCGACACATCCGTGACCATCTACCAGAGCCTTCCGGACAGTCAAAAGAAACAGATTTACGCCTTCGTAAAGGAATTCTCTGATTGCTTTTCAATTGCCTCGAAGGTCCAGCGCACGTCAATTGAGAAATACAGAATTATAACACAAGACGACACGAGGCCTATATGCCAGCATCCATATCGAGTGTCACAGAAAGAACGGGTAATCATTAAGAAGCGAGTGGAGAAAACGTTTTTGGATGATGTCATCCAGCCTTCAAATAGTCCATGGGCGTCCCCCGTAGTGCTCGTTAAGAAGAAAGACAGCACGCTTAGATTCTGTGTCGACTACCGAAAACTCAACAGTGTAACTAAACGAGATGTCTACCCCTTGCCACGTATTGACGATACACTATATCGGCTGCGATCCGCAAAGTTTTTCTCCTCCTTGGATCTGAAAAGCGGATACTGGCAAATAGAGGTCGACGAGCGGGACCGTGAAAAAACGGCATTCGTGACACCAGATGGCCTCTGCGAATTCAAAGCGCCTTCCATTCGGCTCTGTTCCCCACCAGCGACGTTCCGGCGAATGATGGACACTGTCCTCACGGGATTGAAATGGCAGTCATGCCTAGTGTATTTGGATGACGTGGTGGTATTCTCTGCAACGTTCGACAAATATCTAGAGCGACTGCGCACAGTATTACAAGCCATCCGGTCAGCAAACTTGACAATCAAACCCGAAAAATGCCACTTCTGCTTCGAAGAGCTGCGATTCCTTGGACATGTCATTAAATCTGACGGTGTTCGTCCTCATTCCGAAAAGACAGCCGCTGTTCAGAGGTTCCCTACACCGAAAGACAAAAAGTCAGTGCGTTCATTTTTGGGTTTATATGCCTACTATAGGTGGTTTGTGGAAAACTTCTCAAAGATTGCGAAACCTCATACAAAACTAACGAAGACGACGTGCCCTTCGCATGGGAAAGCGAACAACAGAAAGCTTTTGATTAATTAAGAAAACGGCTACAGGGTTCACCAATACTTGCCCATTTTGATGAGACAGCCGACACTGAAGTCCATACAGATGCCAGCAATGTCGGCCTCGGCGCCATCCTGGTCCAGTGGCAAACTGGTCAAGAAAAAGTGTTATCCTATGCCAGCCGAAAACTCTCAAAAGCTGTGGCAAACTACTCCGCAACTGAAAAATAGTGCCTCGCCGTCATCTGGGCAATAAATAAGTTTTGACCCTACCTATATGGTAGACCGTTCAGAGCTGTCAGTGACCACCATGCTCTATGCTGGCTGGCAAATCTCAAGGATCCGTCAGGTCGACTAGCCAGATGGAGCCTTAGGCTGGAGGAGTATGACATTACTGTCGTATACAAATCTGGCAGAAAACACAGTGATGCCGACTGCCGGTCATGCTCTCCCGTCGATCCAAGTGTACCTGAAGAGGAAGACTTCCCGTTTCTAGGCGTTGTCGACGCATCCGAAATCGCTCAACAACGAGATGACCCGGATTGGCTAGCGCTTATACAACACCTGCAGGGTCTCGACGTTCAAGTCCCTCTCATAATCTCCAGAGGGCTCTCCACGTTCTGCCTTCGAGGAAGTGTCCTTTACAGGAGGGACTTCGAACCTAAAGGCGAAACGTTTTTACTAGTCATGCCCACAGCCATGCGACAGAAAATTCGGCATGCATGCCACGACGAGCCAACATCTGGACACATGGGTCTGAGACGAATATTCGCCAGGATTCGCCTGAAGTACTATTGGCCTAAGTTGCTCGCATCAGTCCAGCGCTACGTGAAAACTTGTCGTCAATGTCAACGGCACACAACTCCAGCCGTAAAACCAGCCGGCCTTCTCCAGCCAATAGACTCCCCGGATGCCCCATTCCAACAAGTCGGCAGGGACTTCCTAGGACCTTTCCCAGCATTATGTGCAGGCAAGAAATGAATTATCGTAGCTACAGACTATCTGAACTGGTATAGCGCATTACGGGGAAGAAGAAACGGCCGAGCAGACCGACACAAGAGGACAGAGCGCTAGTCCTCTTGTGTCGGTCTGCTCGGCCGTTTCTTCTTCCCCGTAATGCGCTATACCAGTTCAAGTACGACGAACCAACTCGCCCAATCTTCAACACTCGCAGACTATCTTTTCCGTTATGCTGAGACTGACTCTCTGTACAGTACGACAGCTGCCGAAGTCACCAAGTTCTTTGTGAACAACATAGTGCTCAGACATGGTGCGCCCATGGTCGTTATTACTGATCGGGGCACCGCATATACTGCAGACCTCATGCAATGTCTGATGCGCATGACAAATACCGATCACAGAAGAACGACGGCGTATCACCCTCCGTCAAATTGCTTAACCGAACGCCTCAACAGAACTCTGACCGACATGCTATCAATGTATGTCGATGTTGAACATAAACAATGGGATGAAATATTACCCTACGTAACATTCGCATATAATACAGCCGTTCAAGAAACAATACACGTTACCCCTTTCAAACTAGTATTCGGCCGAAGAGTGACCACCCCACTGGATGCCATGTTACCACTGCAGGGCGAAAACAGCTATCCACCTGACTTAGATGACTTCTTGCAAAGAGCCGAAGAAGCACGACAAATGGCAAGATACCGAATACGGCGTCAACAGTGCGTCGACTCTAGTCGGTACAAGAAGCGACGCAGTGACGCACTTTATCATCCCGGTGACAAAGTGTGGATACGGATCCCCGTGAACCACCGTGGACTCTCTGATAAGCTTCTTCGTCGATACTTCGGCCCTTATGAAGTACTCAACCGTACCAGCGACGTCACTTATGAAGTCAGATCCGCGGGACCCGTGAGCTCAAGACGCCGCAATCCCACGAAAGTGGCACACGTAGTCCGCATGAAGCCCTATCATGACAGATCGTCGGAAAACGAGTGAGAGTGCGCATGTATCATTTCACTCTCTCAAGCATCAGGAAGATGCGTCTGAGGAGGAGGATAATGCCGCGACAGGTTGGCCGCATTCAAGTAGCCCGCCGCAATTATCGTGGCAAGAGCACC